CTGGGCCTTGACCCTGTGGGTTGTGGACAGGGAATGTTGCCTGACTTTCCTGTAAACAAAGAATGTTGCCCGCTATCCCAGTTCTACAAGAATCAAGCCATTAGCCACTGCAGCAACCCACAGATGGTGCACCTGAGGGGAATTCAGGATGGAGAAAAACAGGAAGCATTCTGTGCTTTGGATACTGACCCTAGATAGTTAAGATGCATATCAAAGGAATAATTTCAATGAACCCCGGTCCTTGCATGTTCCCATACATAGAAAAACATTAACTTGAGATGTCTGTTCTTTGTGATTAGTAATCTTGGTGTTCAACTACATATTTTTGTTTTTGTTCTTCCCACAAAAAAACTCCTGTAGATCCTGGCTCCTCCCTTATCTCTTCAGAGCAATTCCTCAGAGCTTTCTGAGAGGCTGTCTTCTGGGCTTTAGTCCTCAGTAAGGTCCCACACAACTTTTAGGTTGTGCATTTTTCTTCAGTCCACAAGGCCTAGGGAAGGAAAGTGCTCCCAATGTTGGCCCCAGGTGCTGCCACCCGAATTCACCCACAGCTCTGTAAACGGCCCTTTTATTGGACTCTCCTCAAATACGCACAGTGTTAATAATGACTCTTTTCTGGGACTTCCCTGGTGGCGCAGTGGCCAAGACTGCACTCCCAGTGCAGGGGTCCCAGGTTCGATCCCTGGTCAGGGAACTAGATCCCACATGCATGCGCAGCTAAGAGTTCGCATGCCACAACTAGGGAGCCAGTGAGCCGCAACTAAGGAGCCCACCTGCCGCAACGAAGACCCAGTGCAACCAAATAAATAAATAAATATTTTTTAAAAAGACTATTTTCTGCTGGGACCTTTATGTGGCAGTCAAGCTGCATATGGGAACTCTGCATAGGGCCAAAGCAATACCCAGTGAAAGCCCAGTGTCCCACGGTGTGGGTGGCAGGGGGTGGGTGGCATCAGCCCAGGACTGACCCACAGGGCCAGAAGTGTGAGAGCTAAGTAGAGAACAGCTCTCCTGCCATTCCTCTTCACTAGCACCTGGGCTCCCTTCCTCCATTTCAGAAGGCAGAAATGCCAGACATCCACTTCCCAGCTTCCTTTGCCCGAGGCCCAGCCAATCAGATGTACCCTCCTTGGAATCAGATGTACCTTCCCTAGAGTCAGACATACCTTCCCTGGAGTGTGCCTAGTGGGCTGGTGACCAGAGCCTCTGCAGTGGTGGGGGTCATAGCAGCCGGGTAGCAGCGTGCAGTGTCTGCCAAAGCAGAACTGTGACTTGGGCATGGCCTCTTTGTCTTGTCCTCCTGTGCCCTTGGTGGTTCTGGGAGCTACACAAGTTCACTTTCATAAATTCCATTTCTGATTATGTTGGGCAGAGTCAGTTTCCTCCAACGGATAAAGTTGTCAGCAGGTGACCAGGGAAATGGGGGTGCATCCGGAGTGGACGTTTGCCTGGTTGGAGTTAAAGGCAGTGGAAATCCAGCCAGGATGAAGGGAAAGCCTTTGGCAACCCCAGCAGGCTGAGGAGACAGAGCTAGTACAGCCATCACTGGTGGTGTGGTACAGATCTTCCACGACTTACGATGGGGTTACTGATAAATCCCCTGTAAGCTGAAAATATCGTAAGTTGAAAATGTATTTAATACATCCAGGACATTGGTCGCCTCCTCAGTGAGGACTTCATACAACCCTGAACCACGCCCTCGGCTCTGTCCCAGCACCCTCTAATACACGACTTACCTCTTTACTGTGTCTTCCACCACTAGAATGTCAGCTCTGTGAGGGAGGGAGTTTGCCCCTGTGCTTACTGCTATATTCCTCCTGCTTAGCCCATGGTAGGCACTTAATGTGTTGTTAATGAATTAAGTGAAATGAAGATGCATATGAAAGAATTAGAGGAATCAGACTGCAACCAACCTCCAGCCCTTCTCCACCTCCCTTGCCCACTGAAGCAAGGTGTCCTCCCATAAGACCTCGTGAGGGAGTTACTTTGCAAGGGGAGTCAACTCTTCTAACGCCCCTCCTCCCCAACTCCTGAAACTAGAGATGGATACCAGCATGTCTGGAGACCTTATTACAAAGTCAGACCCAGAGGGGATGGCTTATGTATCAAAAGAATTTAAGACTTTGGTATTTTACATTAGCTAAAATATACACACTATGCGGTGGGGTGGGGGGGGGAGACCGAGGCCCTAGACCATGGAGATAAGAACATCAGCTTAGTTAGGTTGGACTTCATCAATGCAGGTGAGCTTGCCAGGAACTTTGGATTCAATGTGCAGGCTTAAGCTACTGGGGGTTGTTCTGCCTGTCTATTTGGTTGGCTGAAATGAAAACTGGGTCTCACTAAATGCAATTGAGATGCCAAATGCTCCCTGGTGTAATGTAGAGGAGAGAACCCAAGGCCTCAGGAAGATTCACTCATTCATTCAAAATAAATGTTGGACTGAATTTATCAGGGACAACTCACCTTCTCCCTGAGTCCCTGGAGATGACCCAGAACATAGTCCTTCACCAAGGCCCTAGGAAGTTCATCGCTGAGAAGTTTCCATTTGCCAGGGCTGCTGTAACAAAGTACCACACCCTGAGCGGCTCAAACAACAGAAACTTACTGTCTCATAGTTCTGGAGGCTGGAAGCCAGCATGTCAGCAGGATCCATGCTGTCTCTGAAGTTGCTGGGGAATTTCGGATTAGGGGCACACCCTACTCCAGTATGACTTCATCTTAATTTATGACACCTGCAACCACCCTATTTCTACATAAGGTCACATCAGGAGGTACCGGGGGTTAGGTCTTCAATGTATTAATTTGGGGGACACAATTTGACCCATAAGTACCATAGTCACAGCTGTCCATGAGTCAGAGATTCTGGTTGGAGACACTATAGTTGAAATGCCTCCTTGATTTCAATGCAGATACCAGGATGTTTGGCAGGATCACCAGGCCCCTAAGACAAAAACTGATGGGGAGGCCAGCAGAGCCCTACTGGATGTGTATGACAAAAGAACTAGAGGGCTGACCACCAGAGACCTGACTGCAGAGGATAGGATCTCTCACCAATTTTCCAGATAAGATCAGTTCACAAACCCAGGGGCCCTTGACAGAAGTGGGGTGGGTGCCCTTTAAGGTGGGCCCTGTGAAGACAGCCCAGCTTCATGCTGGTACTTTCCCCACAACCCTTCCCAAAGAGACCTGTGGCCATTAGCCAGGGTTTGACAGATACCACTTCTGGTCTACCCCATTTTCCACTTTTAATAGAACAGTTTTTGTTTAAACAACAATGTGCCCAGTCCCAGGGGATGAATAATGATTGGTCTAAACCAAACATGGCAACTCGCCTTTACAGGTGATAATTATATTTTATTAATATATAATATACAACCATATTATAAATATAATTCAAATGTTGCTGAAACCTATGTCTTTGTAACAATATTTCATTCTATCCAAATATCCTCTGATCCTACCTGATGGCCACTGTTTCCTAGCAACCCAACATGCTACAAAATTCTTCAGCCTAACCATATATAATCGTTCTTTCTAGGTTGTGGTAGAACAGCGAACCTGAAGAAAAATTCTGATAGTGTTATATTTCATTCCTTCTGTTGTTGCTTTGCTGTTGAAATCTTCAAAACCTTCTTCAGAAAGTGCAAGGAAGCCTCTAAGGAGGTCAGGTATCCACTCCAGGAACTCTGTGCCCGGAGACAGGGTGGGGACCATTCAGCGGTCCCCCAACCTCACCTACCAGGAAGACAGTCATAGCTGATACTACTCTGAGCCTGGGGATGAAGCCCAAGGGGTTCCTGTCATCCACTGTGACACAGCCACCCTCTGCCCTGACACACTAGGAAAGGCAAATGCCAGCAATGTTATGTCCATGGAGGAAGACCCCTGCAACACCCCAGCCCCACGGCAGAAGGTGTAGAAAAGTCCATCAAAATTCTGAGGCACGGGGAGGAGGAGGGATAAATTAGAAGCTTCGGATTAACATATACATACTACTATATATAAAATAGATGACAAGGACCTACTGTATAGCACGGGGAACTCTACTCAATATTCTGTGATCACCTATATGGGAAAAGAATCTGAAAAAGAATGAATACATGTGTACGTATAACTGAATCACTATGCTGTACACCTGAAACTAACACAACATTGTAAATCAACTATACTCCAATAGGAAACGGGTTTGAGCCCTGGTCCGGGAAGATCCCACACACTGTGGAGCAACTAAGCCCATGCACCACAACTACTGAGCTTGTGCTCTAGAGCCCGTGAGCCACAACTACTGAGCCCGCGAGCCACAACTACTGAGCCCACGTGCCACAACTACTGAAGCCCGTGCGCCTAGAGCCCGTGATCTGCACCAAGAGAAGCCACGGCAATGAGAAGCCCACGCACCACAAGGAAAAGTAGCCCCTGCTCACCACAACTAGAGAAAGCCTGCGCATAGCAACAAAGACCCAACACAGCCAAAATTAAAAATAAATAAATAAATTTATTTTTAAAAAAAACAACTATACTTCAATAAAATTTTTTTTAAATGCAAAAGGAAAAAAAAATTCTGAGGCATAGGAAAGGGTGTCTCTTGTCACCACCTTCCCCACGCCACAAGTAACAAAGAACACCAGAGAATCAGCCAGCACGCTCCACCCACAGCCTTATGCAGGCCCTCCATCCTCGACCCAGCCTCTGGTTCCCCTCTCCAGGGATGCCAGTATTTGGGACCCACATTTCCAGGGACCCCAGATCCCTCCCTACGTCTGTTTCTGTCTCAGTGGTGAGGGCCCAGCAACCTTGGTCAGCCCAGAGAAAACCTGGGCCCTGCCCCGGGCTCACTCCAGGGCAAGACAGTTTCTGCTCCAGGGATGGGTAGTCATGGGGGTGGGAGCTGGACCAAGGGTCCATACAGACCTGTTGGGAGGGAGCACAGCACAGGGGTTTGCAGAGCCGCTGGAAAGAACCTCACCAGTGGCGAGCTGGCCACACAACACCTTAGATTGTTCTTTTTTAAAAAAGTATTTATTGCAAAGAATGTTGGACACAGTGTGATATGTGGCTGAGATCCAACAACATCCATTCCAGGGCGAGCAGGAAACATGTCTGCAACAGGAGCACATCAACCGTCCTGGCTACAACCGGGCAGCCAGCCAGGTGGATGGCTGCCCATGCAGAGCCGGCTCCGGGTGAGCGCTGCTGGGATCCCACACTTCCCTCTGCCCCATCCCAGTCCTTGTGACACATCTCCAGTAGCTCCTGGCTGCCCTCTGGACAGAGAGAAAAGGCCTTGCTGGTCTCACCTCAGCCAGCCTGAGGTCTTGGAGAGGTGGTGACATCCAGATGTACGTGCCGCTGACCAAAGGGACCTGCTATGGCCAACAACTGAGCATGACCAAAAGTCACCAATACTCTGGCGGACATGGAAGCAAAGGCTGCAGTCCCCACATCCCAAAGGCAGTAGCGTGGTCCTCTGGCCCTGGGTCTAAGGGGCCTGGGGCTCTGACAGGAGATAAGTCCAGAAGGAGGGTACTGCCACGGCTCTGTCCTGGATATCTCTCCACCCATGTCTGTCCATAACTGCTGTGGCACTCGAGGCCGAGAGATCATCAGCCTGGGCCAGGGACACAGGATCCTCGGGCCTGACTTCACCAAGGACCACCACCTGTGGACAGCAGCGCATCCAACTACAAATCCACACGCTTCCTCACCCAGCCTCACAACTTGCTGGCCAGGCTGTTCTCCCAGCTACAAAATGGAGCCGGAACCCGCGGCCCAGCCCAACTCCCTGGGCCCAAAAGAACTCAAGGGCGTGACAGATGGCAGGCTTCCCGAGGTCATTTTCATCAGGCTCCTGTGTACAAGAATCAGAAGCTGGGAAATTCCTGCCCTGGCCAGAGGCTGCCTCCAGCTCTGGGCTTTCCCGTGCTTAGTTCTGCGGGTAGAGGTCAACAAACGCCAGGACAGGCTTTGCAGGACCATGCAAGCTTTTCCGAATCCTTCACAGCAAATGCAGGTCCCTGCCACCAGTGTATACTCTTGTGTGGACGCAGGCAGCGGCGGGCAAGGTAGCCCAGTGGCATGGCCGGGAGAGGAAGATGGGAGGGCAGCCTCTCCCTCGAGCACTGGGAAGGGCGACTCCTACAACTGTCCTGTCTTCACATCTTTCTTCACGTGTTGCACCATGAGAGCAGTTGGAGAGGGGTGGCCTTGGCTGCCAGCTCCCACGAGTATTCCAGTGTAGGCATAATTGGGAAGGGGTAATCGCAAACACCCCGCTCCCTGCATGTTTCTGTGCATTCCCATGTGCTGAAGTGAACACACTGCTTTCCTGAGCGTCCACAAATGCAGACGCACAGACTCAAGGGTCTGGCCAGTGGAGGTGGCTGCCTTGGCGGAAGCTCTTCAGTTCCTGGTGAGGCAGGACGGGGATGGCTCTTTCCCGCGTACTGAGGCAGCAGCAGCTCATGAACACCTTGCCTCTGGCTCAGGAAGTGGCCAAAGAGAGTGTAGCAGAGCCCTGGCAGGGGTCCCCAGGTCTACCCAGGCAGCTCGGCCTCAGTGGGTGGAAACATCACAGCAAGTGCTTTCCGTTTCACATTTTTGGGTTTCACACTTCACGAAGCCCACCAGGCCGGTGAGAGAGAACAGAAGGATCAGGGGCTGGGAAACCTCTCACCAGCCCGGTGCAGACGCAGTCAGGCCAAGTGGTTTTTAGCAGCAGGTTGGGCACCGCATACAACCCTGACACTGTCAACAAGGAAACAGGTGGGCTGGGACTGGGATTCTGGGTGCCACCAGCCATGCATGGCTTTGAGGGTGTTCCTGTGTGGTGACTGTCACACAGACCAGAGGGCCTGGAATGACCTCGTCCACAGAGCTCAACACCTGCCCGGGGGTTGCAGTGGACGACACACGGTCACTGGTGAGCAGGGACCGTGACAAGGGCTTCCTCCGGAGGCCGAGAGATGTCTACATTCTGCACAAAATTAAACACACAGAACGCTGACCATTTGCCAAGGACAGACAGTCACCACTACCCGCTTTGCTCATCGCTATAGCCGCTGGACTCACATCCTCACCCCGAGGAGCCCCGGTCACAGGACTTAGACCCCGACCTTTCCTAAGAGCCAGGCGTCAAGAGCCTCTTGACACGTGGTGGGTGACAAACACCAGAAAAAAGGTGAGGGATGGAGGACACCTCCGGTTCCTGCTTGCTCCTTGCAGGCAGGTCAGGCATTACCCAGAGTGAGGCCATCCCCGCCTCCTGCCTCAGGTCTGGGTCAGGTGGGGAGAAACAGCTGGCTGGGAAGGGGACCAGCTCCTGAGGGTGCCCTCCTCCCGGCTATGTCGGTGTGTCGGTGGACAGGTGTCAGATATGGCCCCGGCAGGCTGCGGACACCTCCTGTGTCTGAGAGCTGGGGCACCAGGCCCCCTGCACCTCCTGAACAGCACCCCTCCCCTGCCTCAGAACTGGGACAGAGCCCAGTTCTGTCCACAGCCGGCTGAGTTCAGGGCATCTCAGGCCTAAGGGATGGGGGTCAGAGACTCCCCTCAATTCTGTAAGACTATGTGATCCTATGTGATCCCTGATCTTGGTGGCCCAATGGAGCAGGTCACCAATGACCTGGGCCACAGCCCAGATCTGCAGGGAGGGAATCATGTCCGCTATGGCCACACTCCTGAGTTCACAGGGCTGGCCACTGGAATTGTAGGGGCAGGTGCAATTCTCACTGGGGGCAGGCTTCCCAAGGGCCCCTTTCTCACCACAACCTGTCCCCAAGGATGGGCCAGGACCTGGAGATCCTGCCCACCTTAAAAGGAACCATCCCGGAACCTGTGGCCAACAGAAGTTTGCCTCTCAGAAGTGCCTACCCAGAGGCAGGCAGGGTGCCTGCCAACTACCCCATGGCCATGTTGGCTCCTGCAAAGGGACCGGGGCACCAGCCCCTGATGCTTGCTGGGTCCAGGGGCCTCTTTCACCATCACCCCATCAGTGCTGGGGGCCCAACACCTTCTGGGCTTTCCTCAGTACGAGGGGCCTGTTGGGACATCTACCCCTGAGACCTGTGTGTGCCAGACTGGGCCTTCATCGGACTCTCAGGGCAAACAGGGAAGAGGTTTACACAATGACTGGTTCTGGTGAGGGGAAGCAGCCTTAGGAAACAGGAGGACACATCCACACACCTCAGCCTGTGGGGCCCAAGGCCTGCACCCTGGGCAGGGACCCAAGGCCCAACACGTCCCATTGTGGGTGGCAGCAGGCATGACTAAGGTCCCAGGAGCCTTCCTGGTGCAACAGACTCTGGGAATGGGGCCCAGAGGGGCGGTCCTGCTCTTGGCCTCAGTGGGAGAGGAAACCAAGATGGCAGAAGGATCCCACACGGGCATGAAGTGCTTCTGGGCAACACTTCAAGGAGCTTCTATCTTTAACGCTGGGGGAACACAGAACAGAGACGTGTCCTTCCGCAGGAAGGTCTCTACGCAGCACCGAGACACCCTCAGCCTCTGCATGGCCCTTTCCGCAACAAAGCAGGACATTTTTCATTTTTACTTTTTAAAGGTGCTCAGGTTGGACAGGTGCTCATGAGGCCTGGGCTGGTGGGACATGGAAGCGCCTGCCCCCTGTAGGCCTCTAGCCTCTGTTCTGGCCACAGCGTCACCCTGACAGAGAACTCAAGCTCACTCAGTAGATGCCCCAGCTGGGCCTGGCCCTGGTGGTTGCTGTGTCTGGACCCCCAGGAACGTGCCCACCACCCCAGCAGTGACCCGGCTGCTACCTGAGGCCTGTCTCGGTGCGTGTTCACAGCCGCCACATTCAGGAATATGGACTCCACTTTACAACCTGCCAAAGGGAAGATGCAAATCCATTCCCCCTCCTGAAAGGCAGCAGAGCCACAGGGGTAGAAGCTTCTCCCAGGAGGAGGCTTTCGGTGCTGTGGGGCTGAGCAGACGCCTCAGCCTCACTCCAGTCCTCCCACCTTGGGCAGCTCTGGAGGCCCCGTGAGGAAGCACTAGGCAGCGTGTCAGGCCCGAGCCTCTGGGCCACTGCCCAGCGCAGGCTCGCCAAGGAGCCCGGGCACCAGGCAGAGCCACAGTGAGGATGAGCGGCCCACCTCGGGGGCTGAGGGCGGTCTGAGAAGCAACAAGCCTAGCTCAGTGAGGGGTCACTACACTGAGCAGACCCTCACCCAGCCCTGTCTCACACACGAGGCGGGATCACCATGGTGCCAGGCGCTCAGTGCAAAGGGGGACGAGGCAATTAACATGCACTGGGATGACTTCAGCTGCCACTGAGCTATACAGTTATCGTCCCGAGGGCACAACCATGTGAGAGTGCCTCGTCCAGTGTTGAAGGGGAGGGGTCGGGACCCAGGAGGTTAGGAAGTTGCGTGAGGCCTCTGCTGGCAGAGCCCAAGGCAGAGGCGCATATTTTCAGGTCCGGGTCCTGGGGCCGTGGGGTTTTCTGGGGGATTTTGGAGAAACCAGTAGAAAAGACCCTCATGTGGGTGGGTGATGGTTAAGGAAGGATCACTGGGGAGGCTTCCTGTGGCCACAGGAATTAAAACAAAAAACATTTTATAGCAAATTGGGAAAGGTGGTGGGATGGAAGGAGGAGGAATGAGCCTCTAATGAAATTTTCAAGGGAGGGGTTTGCAGAAAACCACAGAACCCTGCAGACAGCCAGTCTGGCAACCAGGTCAGCATGCGGGAAGCTTCTTTACCATAAGCCACGGGGGTCAGCTTCAGGACCGTGTGCAGCGGACACTTGAGGTAAGGCAGCTGTTCTGTGGACACAGGCAGAGAGGGTTGGCACCAGGGATGCCCAGGTGACAGTCCCCTTCGATCTCTCTCACACACACATCCCACCTCCCCAGGGGCAGCGTCCGCACCTGCTGCCTTGTCAAGGAAGTAGGCCAGGAGGCAGCGCATCACAGCCTGGTGGCAGATGACCAGCACGTTCTCTTGCCGCTCCAGCTCCATGATGACAGGCTCGAGTCGCTGGACCAGGTCCTCATAGGACTGCAAGGGCAAGTGGGAAGCATCCCTCAACCCAGCTCTGGGGGTAGGGATGGAGACCTTCTGGGTAGTGGGCTACCTTCTCCTGAACTCCTCACCATTCTGGGAGGTTGGTGAGGACTGGCAATCACCTCCCCTATCCCAGGGCCAGGTCCCAGTAGGACTGAGAGGGCAGGGCTGGGGCTTAGGCTGCGTCCAAGGGGCCACCTCCATGCCCTTCCTGGGGCCCTTTGCTGAACCCTCAGCTGCTGGAATTCACATGCTGGCAACTGATGACAGGTGGAGAAGACACGGCTCCCTTCCTACCCGCCGCACGTGGAGTACACAGAACGAGGCTTGTAGGGAGGGGAAGCAAAAACCTCCCAAACTTCCCAGAGTGCAACCTGTCAGAATGCCTGAGCTCCCAGGAAGGACCCTCACAGTCTGCCTGCCCTGTACCTCCCCTGGGTGCCGTGAGGGAGCCCTTGGACCAACCCCGGTGACTGGCAGGTCTAGAGCTTTTCACTGGGAGACCCAGCCCTGGGGGTTCACCCCTGTTTGCACACAGTGAGCCGTCCTTCAGAAAAAAAAAAAAGGCCTCAAGCTTGGAGCTGAGTTTGCCCCATGATTTGGTTGGGACTAATACCAACATGACTTGTGCCAGCCCCTGGTATTTCTGGGGAAAGCCTAGATTGCTTCTTTTGGCAACTACCTTCCCTACCAATTTCCCCCCTGTATTCTCAAGTTTGAGCAGCCAGCTGCTTTGTTTCTTTTTACTGTTATCTGGTTTGGTTCTAAATCTGGGTTCTCCCTCACAGTATGACGTGGGGAAATATCAATGCTACCCGAAGCTGTCCTATTCCCGAGGACAGCACAGCATAGGCACCTGTGAGCCTGGCATTTGGGCGGGGGGTTTCGACATGTGTACGTGTATGTGTGTACGCAAACCTGTGCGTCTGTGGGAGGTATTTTTATTTGGCCACTGCCCCAGGTCACGTCCTAGAATTGGGAGATACATGAGTCAAAGGTGACACTGGGGGCTTCCCTGGTGGCGCAGTGGTTGAGAGTCCACCTGCCGATGCAGGGGACACGGGTTCGTACCCCGGTCCGGGAGGATTCCACATGCCACGGAGCGGCTGGGCCCGTGAGCCATGGCCACTGAGCCTGTGTGTCCGGAGCCTGTGCTCCGCAACGGGAGAGGCCACAACAGTGAGAGGCCCGCATACCGCAAAAAAAAAAAAAAAGGTGACACTGTTTCTACCTGGGGCCTGGGCTGAGGCGAGAGCCAGTCTGAGGGGAGGTGACAGTGCAGGTGACTTATGGTAGTCACGACTCACCTGGGGAAAATGAATCCCTAGGTCTGGATTCAGGGCTAGGGATGGTGTCCGGAGCCGCAGGGAGGATGGGGTCACCCTATGACACTCCCAGGGATGGGGAAAGTAAAGATGGGGAGTGATGGGAAACAGGGCTCCAGTAGGCCTCAGGGTTGGGATTCCTGGGCAGCACTGCTCACCCACCACCCAAGGAGGGGCCTGCAGCCTGGGCCACGGCTGAGAAGTGGTGGAGGTGACACACACACCCAGCCTGCCTACCTCTGAGGCCAGGCCCCTCCTGCTGCCCACGGAGCCTCTGCAGAGCCCCTCGGGGCCCTCAGTCACAGGCGGTCCTCCCAGGCAGGCAGCAGGTGGCTGGGATTAAGCCCCCATATCCCACCTACCTCCCCCTTGGGGTACCGGTACCGGTACTTGTCCTGGTCTCGCAGGGCAAATTCCAGTGGATAATGATCCTGAATTTCCTCGTAAGTCATTTCCTCACAGACGCCCTAGGGAGACACCGCAGTCATCACATCACCCACATCAGGCCCAGGGATCAGCCCTGTGTCAGGGGGAGGGCATTTCCTGGGCCACAGGGCCTCTCCCAGCCGGGAAGAGCAGGCAACCTGGGAAAACTAAGCAGGGGCAGCCTCACGTTTGGAAAAAGCTATCACACGTCTTTTCCACCCACCCATCGTCCATCCATCCAGTTTATGCCATAAAAATAAACACAGAAATATTAACTATGTGTCTTTTCTAATGTGTCTTTTTGTCTTCTGTGCTATGGAAATACTACAGCAGAGTATGGAATATTGTACAGGCTATAAAGTAAGATTTCCCTCATGTCATTCAGGATACACACACACGCACAGCATAGAGTATCGTACACAAATGCCATTTTAAAACAAAACAGAAGAGCCCAGGACAATGTGTGGACTGACCAGTGTCAGTCCTTCCAAGGCTCAAGCCAAGAACCAGCACACAGGAGGTGCCCAGAGAGGAAGCAATAAAACGCCCGTAATAAAAAGCTGCTGGACTATTTACGATAGCCAGGTCATGGAAGCAACCGAAATGCCCATCGACAGACAAATGGATGAAGAAGATGTGGTACATATATACAATGGAATATTACTCAGCCATAAAAAGGAATGAAATTGCGTCATTTGTAGAGACGTGGATGGATCTAGAGACTGTCATACAGAGTGAAGTAAGTCAGAAAGAAAAAAACAAATATCGTACATTAATGCATATATGTGGAACCTAGAAAATGGTACAGATGAACCGGTTTGCAGGGCAGAAATTGAGACACAGATGTAGAGAACAAACGTATGGACACCAAGGGGGGAAAGTGGCGGGGTGGTGGTGGTGGTGGTGTGATGAATTGAGCGATTGGGATTGACATGTATACACTGATGTGTATAAAACTGATGATTAATAAGGACCTGCTGTATAAAAAAATAAATAAAATAGGGCTTCCCTGGTGGCACAGTGGTTGAGAGTCCGCCTGCCGATGCAGGGGACACGGGTTCGTGCCCCGGTCCGGGAAGATCCCACATGCCATGGAGCGGCTGGGCCCATGCGCCATGGCCGCTGAGCCTGTGCGTCCGGAGCCTGTGCTCCACAACGGGAGAGGCCACAACGGTGAGAGTCCCGCGTACCACAAAAATAAATGAATAAATAAATAAATAAAATAAAATTCAAAAAAAGATGTGAGAAACTACAAAGTGGGGGTCAGGAGAACAAACTGTGACACTACAATTCATAACACACACAATAAACAAATTATTCTGAAAAATAAAAAATAAAATAAAATAAAAAGCTGCTGGTTTCTACCTATGTCCTCAGGGTTTTTTTTCCTAGACAAAGCCTTGGGGGCAAAGTTGTCTATTAAAAAGGAAAGATAATGAGGAAAATTTAAACCTATAAATGCCTATATCAAAAAAAAAAGATCTCATATCACTAATCTAATCTTCTACCTTAAGATATTGGAGGGACTTCCCTGGTGGCACAGTGGTTAAGGATCCGCCTGCCAATGTAGGGGACAAGGGTTCGATCCCTGGTCCAGGAAGATCCCACATGCTGCGGAGCAACTAAGCCTGCATGCCACAACTACTGAGCCCATGTGCCACAACTACTGAAGCCCGCGTGCCTAGAGCCTGCACTCCACAACAAGAGAAGCCACCACAGTGAGAAGCCCACACACTGCAACGAAGAGTAGCCCCTACTCACTACAACTAGAGAAAGTACACCCACAGCAACAAAGACCCAACGCAGCCAAAACTAACTAACTAACTAAATTTATTTTATTTTATTTTATTTTTTTTTTTTACTAAATTTATTAAAAAAAAAAAAAAGTTACTGGAAGAAGAACAAATTAAACCCAAAGCAAGCAGAAGTAAGGAAATAATACAAATTAGAACACAAATTCATTAAATAGAAAAAAGCAACGAAATCAAAAGTTGGTTCTTTGAAAAGATCAACAGAATTCACAAAACTTTTGCTAGACTGACAGGAAAAAGGAAAGCTCAAATTATTAAACCAGGAATGAAAGGGGGATATTACTACAAAGCTTACAGAAATAAAGAAGATTATAAGGGAATACTATGCACAATTATATGCCAACAAATAAGACAACTTAGGTGAAATAGGAAAATTCCTACAAAGACACAAACTACCTGTTGTGAGTTGAATACTTCCCCCCAAAAGATACGCTGAAGTCCTAACCCCTGGGAACTGTGAATGTGACCTTATGTGGAAATAGTCTTTGCAGATATAATCAAGTAGATGAGGTCCAATGACTGATGCCCTTTTAAGAAGGCCATGTAAAGACATAGAGAGACACACACAGGGAAGAAGCCCATGTAATGAGGGAGACAGGGATTGCAGTGATGCACCTATAAGCCAAGGAATGTTGGCAGCCACCAGGAACCTGCTAAAAATATGGGCATTAAAAGGGATTGGGGGCAGGGGCTTCCCTGGTGGCGCAGGGGTTGAGAGTCCTCCTGCCAATGCAGGGGGACACGGGTTCGAGCCCTCTCCGGGAGGATCCCACATGCCGTGGAGCAGCTAAGCCTGTGCGCCACAACTACTGAGCCTGCGCTCTGGAGCCCGTGAGCCACAACTACTGAGCCCACGTGCCACAAATGCTGAGCCTGTGCGCCTGGAGCCCGTGCTCCGCAATAGGAGAGGCCACTGCAGTGAGAAGCCCACACGCTGCAACGAAGAGCAGCCCCCGCTCTCCGCAACTGGAGAAAGCCTGTGCGCAGCAACACAGCCAAAAGATAAATAAATAAATTTATAAAATAAACGTGATTGGGGGGGACTTCCCTGGTGGCACAGTGGTTTAGGAATCCACCTGTCAATGCAGGGGACACGGGTTCAAGCCCTGGTCCAGGAAGGTTCCACATGCCACAGAGCAACTAAGCCCGTGTGCCACAGCTACTGAAGCCCACGTGTGCCTAGAGCCCGTGCTCCACCACAAGAGAAGTCACCTCAATGAGAAGGCCACACACCACAATGAGGAGTAGCCAAAGCCTGTGTGCAGCAACCAAGACCCAACGCAGCCAAAAATAAATTAATTAATGAAAAAAAAAAAAGATTAGGGGGATTCCCTGGCGGTCCAGTGGTTAGAACCAAATGCTTTCACTGCTGAGAGCCTGGGTTCAATCCCTGGTCGGGGAACTAAGATCCCACAAGCCGCAGTGTGGCCAAAAAAAAAGTGATGATGGTGATGGCTCAGAAGGAAGTGAAGGACAGTAGAGCAAGCCTCTATTGCCTTAGAGAATACGTATATTATCATGAACAGAATGTTGCTAGAAATATGAATGTTTAGGGACTCCTCTGGAGGTCCAGTGGTTAGGACTCCGTGTTTTCACTGCCGTGGCCCCAGGTTCAATCCTTGGTCAGGGAACTAAGATCACGCAAGCTGTGTGGCGCGGCCAAAGAAAAAGAGAGAGAGAAAAGGCAATCTTTATCATAAAGCAGCAGAGAACTTGGCCGAACTGTGTTCTAGTGTGGGCAGCTATAACAAAAAAGGCAGATAGGGGCTTCCCTGGTGGCGCAGTGTTTGAGAGTCCGCCTGCCGATGCAGGGGACACGGGTTCGTGCCCCGGTCCGGGAAGATCCCACATGCCACGGAGCTGCTGGGCCCGTGAGCCACGGCCGCTGAGCCTGCGCGTCTGGAGCCTGTGCTCCGCAACGGGAGAGGCCACAACAGTGAGAGGCCCGCGTAAAAAAAAAAAAAAAAAAAGGCAGATAATGACAAGTGATAAGGAGGATGCAGAGAAATCAGAACCCTCATACACTGCTGGTGGGAACGTAAAATGGTGCGGCCACTTTGGAAAACAGCCTGGCAGTTTCTAACAAGCTTAAATGGAGTTAACATGGGGGACTCCCTGGTGTCCCAGTGGTTGGGACTCTGTGCTTTCATTGCCAAGGGCCTGGGTTCAATCCCTGGTCAGGGAGCTAAGATCCCACAGGTCACACAGCACAGCCAAAATAAAAAAACAAACAAAAAAATGTAGAGTTAACATATGACCTAGCAATTCCACTCCTGGCTATCTACCCAAGAGAAATGAAAACATGTCCACACAAAAACCTGTACATTCAGAGCAACATCATTCCTAAAGCCAAAAAATGGCAACTACCCAAATGCCCATCGACTGGTGAATGGATAAATAACATGTGGTATATCCATACAATGGGATATTATTCGGCAATATACAGGAACAAAATACTGATACATTCTACCACAGGAGGAAGGAAATGTCCAGAATAGGCCAGTCTATAGAGACAGAAAACAGATTGGTGGTAGCCTAGGGCTGGGGGGAAGGACTGGAAGGAAATGGGGGTATGGGTACAGGGTTGCTTTCTGGAACAACAAAAATGTTCTAAAATTGATTGTGGTGATGGTTGCATAACTCTGTGAATATACTAAAAACGATTGAATCATACAATTTAAATAGGTGAACTGTATCATAGGTGAATCATATCTCGATAAAGCTGTTGTTTTCAAAAAAGGAAAAATAAGACAGTAAATTGTGGATTGGGCTAAGAAAAAAATCACAATGTTAAAATAGAAGACGAGCCCAAGGCTGTTTACCAGAACAGAGGAAAGAACAAAGATAAACATGGAAAGATGACTAACAGATCATAGATACTAGAATAGTTTCCAAACTAAAGAAAAAGAAGGGAATCCAGTGTATCTAGGAAAATAATCAGATTAACCTCAAAAAAAAAAAAAAGATCAGGGCTGCCAAGGCTTCTCTGAGAAACCAAATGCTCCAGCCATATCTGTGCCCTTGGAAGGCAGACACCAGACCCCTAACCTGCGTCAGGGAGCTGCTATTTGCACGAGAAAGAAATCAGGGCTGGAAACCTCCTGTAACTCCCACCAGCCACAGCTGATGAAAGCCCACAAAATGGGTTAAATGAGCTATAAAATGGGTCACAGAAATTGCTTACTCTTTTGAAAGAGTTCATCAGTTCTAAAGAAGAGCTACAACAGATA